AGTTGCTGGAATGGGCTTTCTTAGACGAGTCGCCGACCCTACGCGTCTCGACATGGTCCGAAATACTGACATCCGGGAATGCCTTTGTGTACTACCTTTGCTTCTCCAGATTGAGAAATCACAGCTGCGACGGTGTGGGCAAGTGTGGCGAATGCCTCCAGAAAGGAAAGTTAAGTAAATGTTTCTTGCCCTACCGACCGCCAGAAGGCCCAAGGGACGACCAAAAATACCCTAATGCAAATATATGGAAGGAGTCAGTTCCAGATTCCATTTGTCTTTTGCCGAAGTTCAGATTCTGGCACAGAATCGGGACTGTTTAACCAAAGTCGGAGCCATCTGCTTCCGCAATCCGAAGTGCGAATTGGCCTTGGAAAATGTAGAAGATGCGGACAACTGTAGACTTTGATACAAGCGTTCGATGCCTCCGAACTTCATCTTCTTCTTCACAGCGATTCTGACCAATTCGCGCAGAACGCCATTGGTTAGAGAGTAACAGGCAAGAGAACGAAAATGCATTAGGCTTTTCGTTTTAGATGCGTTCACACGCGTGCCGGTCACGCCGCACTCGGCTGCGAATCTTTCCAAAGATCACTGTAGATCAGTTTCAGAAAATTCCAATAAAACAAGGTCGTCTGCAAACAGCAACCATCTCGTCTTCACGTCTCCTGCACAGATGAACTCATCATCTTGGCTGCTCCTTACCATTCTATCCATGTACAACACAAACAGGGGGACTGAATGCAATCTTGGCGGAGACTAGTGCCAATGTTGAAAGTCTTGAGCTTAACGGCAGTTTCTCTGACGCAACACCTGCTCTCAGAATGCAGTGCTTCATTGGCCCGCAACTGCTGCTCATCTATTCTGTATACTCGCAGGCATTACCACACTCTGTTGCACAGGGTTCGGTCATAGGATTTTTCTGGGTCCACAAATCAAATGTTCACTGGATTGGAGAACTTTCGCGATTTCTCAAAATATAGCGCAGGGCACCTATATTGTCAGAGGAGCTTCAAAGTGGTCTGAAACTGCATTGCTCCTCTTGCATCTCGGAGTCAGTTATTCTGCGACATCTTCTTTCTAGCACCTTTGCGTTGACATTTCCTGGGAGGTTCAATAACGTAATGCTCCGATAATTGTAGCGCTCTCTGTGGTCTCCCTTGATGAATAGAGCTGCAGCAACTCCTCCATACCAGTCCGCTGGTATCTTTCTCGTATTCATCGCAGTTTGACAGATGTGTGTACTCAAACACTTGCCTAGTTCGTCTATTGCTTTGGACATTTTAGGACAGATTCCATCAATTCCAGCGGCCTTTGCACATTTCAAGCTTTTCAAAGCTTGCATAATTTCATATACAGAGAAAACAATGTCTTTAACTGTTGCCCTACAGGCGAGTCTGCCTGCGGCTGTTCGGGATTTAGTCGTTCGTTAAAGCACTCTTTCTGTCGCCGAAGAATGTGTTCATCCTTGGTAAAATAGTGTCCAGACCTGTCCTTTATGACTTTTACACTGCCGTTCTTTTCATCTCAGAATCGGCGAATGGTCCACCAAAATAACTTGTTTGCCCTGGGGATTCTATCTGCATTCATTCCCATGACAAATGTGCTCTTTAAAAACCCGGGACAATCGTTCTGTGGTTCCTGCAAAATTCAAACTGAGAAGCTGGTTTCAATAGCGATCGTCATTCGATGGGTGGCAAAGGACATCAAGTTGGTACTATGCTGTATGTGGCTTGCGACCATGAGATGCGGACTGGCATAGGAACTTCTAACGGATTGAACATTAGTAGTGCATTTGTCAATTCACATAAATGATTATAAACGATGATTAAATATATTCTATATTCAACATAAACTACAATTAAAATATATAATAGTTTCAGGTAATTGTGCTTGAAATCTATATCAATGATTTTATCAGCTTCAAAGCTACTCTTCACAAGCCACGGTTTGTTATATTTTTGGTGATCTTAGGGGATCCAATGCTTTTAAACAGGTTGCAACCGTTCACAATCTGCTGCACGAGTACTTATTCCGACCTTTTTGCACTCACCAC